GTTCTCGAAGGGAAAGGCTGTGGTGTGCCATGGGGGACAGAGCCTCATGCAGATGAGTGCAGATAGCATGATGCACAGATTTTTCCTTTTGGGGGAATATTTCCTGCCATTTGCAACAGGAAATGTGGGGAAGAATCGTCTTGTGTTTAGCCAAGAGCGTATTGCACAGCTCAGGCTGTCCGGGATGGGTTGTCCTCTCACCAGGTTGTCTCCTGTCGGCAGGTTTTCCATGACGTGGCCTATAAAGCCAAGAACCGGGCTGACCTCGTGGCTGGCATCGACGAGTTCCTGGATCAGGTCACGGTCTTGCCGCCAGGAGAGTGGGATCCATCGATCCGAATCGAGCCCCCAAAAAACGTCCCTTCGCAGGTGGGTGCTGTGCAGGGAGGCGCGAGGGGGGCTGGGCAGGACGTCAGCTCGCTTGGGGATGCTGCTCAGGGCCCGAATTCCCAGTGTCTGGTTTGACACAGTCACGTTCCCAGAGCAGAAGCAAGGCAAGCCAGGGCTTGCAAATCCATCCCTTTATCCTACTTCCATTTCAACAGCAAAAAAGGAAGGTGCCAGGAGCTCCTGATGACAGTGCTTCTCACAGCAAGCCGGAGAAACACAGTGGTCCGGAGCTGGAGCGGACGGGAAGGTGTGAGCTTTAACAGTTTGGGGTTTTAGTATCAAGAGTTTGGGACTGTTCAGTGTGAGGAGGAGGAGGCTGAGGGGAGCCCTCATCCCTCTCTGCAGCTCCTGACAGGACGTTGTGGAGAGGCTGGAGCTGGGCTCTGCTCCCAGGGGATCAGGGGCAGAACAAGAGGGAACGGCTGGAAACTGCCCCAGGGGAGGGTCAGGCTGGGCAGGAGGAGAAAATGTTTCATGGAAGAGTGGTCAGAGAGTGGAACAGGCTGCCCAGGGAGGGGGGAGTCCCCATCCCTGGGGGGTTTCAGGGCCGTTGGGATGAGCTGGGGGATGTGGGGTAGGGGGGAACTTTGTAGATTCGGGCTGAGGGTTGGACTCGATGATCCCGAGGGGCTTTTCCAACCTGAGTGATTCTGTGACTCTGTTTTTTTCTGTTTGACTCTCAGAGCTGAGCAGGCACCTTCCCTTCTAGCAGGTTTCTGGGTTAGTTGACTGAGTGAAGGGGCTCCACATTACCAGCTTGGTCCCCTGGTCTGGGCAGGTGGGAGATCTGGGCAGCTGGGCTCAGCCACAGCATCACTGCACACAGGTTTTCCTGATGTGGGGTGGGAGCAGATGTGCAAGTGCCTCCAGGCAGAGATCTGCTGCTTCCCAAAGCATGGGGCTGTTGCAGGGAGAGGGGAGAGGCTCTCAGGTTGGGTCCTTTTTCTTTTGGTTGGAGGGGTGTGTTTGTGGGCCTGTTTCTACTGGGTATGAAATGGGAGGAGGCGAGTGCTTCTGTGGAGCAGCGCTTGTGAGGGCCCTTCTGCAGTAGAGCAAACTCCATGTGTTCTTCCACAAGAACAATCTGTTTTTATTGTCCCTTCCTCCAGGCTCTTTGGAGGTTTGATCCGGGATGTGAAGCGGAAAGCCCCGTGGTTCTGGAGCGATTTTCGGGATGGGCTGAGGCTGCAGTGTCTGGCGTCCTTCCTCTTCCTCTACTGTGCCTGCATGTCCCCCGTCATCACCTTCGGGGGGCTGCTGGGGGAGGCGACCGACGGCCACATCGTGAGCACCAATCTCTGTTGGGTGGCACGGGGGAGGGTTACACTCGTGCAAAAGTCCTTGCTGCAGTGAATTTGCTTTGGTTTTGTTTTTTTCCATCATGATTTATTCCCTGACCTGCCTCTTCCCTGGACAGAGTGCCATGGAGTCGTTGCTGGGCGCATCCATGACCGGAGTGGTGTATTCCCTCTTTGCCGGCCAACCCCTCACCATCCTCGGCAGCACCGGACCCGTCCTTGTCTTCGAGAAGATCCTCTACAAATTCTGCAAGTAAGGCTGCCTGCCGCGGCTGGGTGCTGCCAGAGCTGCCACAAGGCAGCAGTGATGGAGAAAAGATGTTTTTCTTCTATTTTTTTTGGTGGTAGTTGTTAGATTTAAGCTGTGTTCTGTGTCCGAGACGTTGCCTGCTGCTGCTTTAGTATGTGATGGCGCAAGAGCCCTCGGCCTCCGAAGGGCGGATGGGGGGTTTGGGATTTCTAGGGCTGAAGTGCAGCAGCGGGAGGAGGAGAAGCCACAAGAGTGTGGGTGCCCAAGATGGGCTGCACAAGGATGATGAGACAAATCAGTCTGGTTTGGGGAGGAGGGAAGACTTGCTTTTCTCTGAGTGCAAAAGCAGGTGCTTTTTAGCCCGGGTTTTGCTGGGAGATGGAAGATATTTTGCTCAAATATCCAAATAGTTTTCTGATTACACTTAGAGCTTTGATGATTTTATTGAAAATGTAGGAGCTTTGCATGTGAAATGGCTATTTCCACGACAGTCCTTCTGTCATGGTGACTTTAACATGAGATGTACCACCCTTACTGCAATTAAGTTGATTATTAAGCCCCAGCTTGCTGGTAGCAGGTGACTGGGCAGAGAACCAGCTGGTTCCAGTGTTGGGGCATGAGGGTGATGGGGGAGAACACCACCTTCCACACCAGCTCCATGACCTCAATTAGCCTCCATTAGATAATTGCTAAATGATGATAATGAAATAACTGGTCTCTGCTCCTGCAGCCCCCCCCC